CCCCAAAACCCCAAAACCCCAAAACCCCAACTTTAGATGTAGTAGATAAGATTATTGAATTAAGATTAAAATCAGGTTAATATCACTTTGGCTTATTTTTCATTTTTTGATAATTTTATATCCTTCTTATAGTCATTAATCTCTTATCAGTTTTTAAGGCAATTGCTAATGGAGATATTATTATTGTAGAAGTAGCTGCTACTAATCGTAAAGGCTACTTTGAATGTTTTCAAACTTAATCGCTTTGTCTAAATTATGCTAAAGTTCTATAATTTCTTAATCTAAAGAGCTTATCTCATTCTTTATATTGTTTAAAGTCATATCTCTACGGCTAGTGAGCTAAAAGACCTCTGGGCATTTCTAGGTTTATTCATAGGTTTCATTTTCAATGTTTCTACCTCCAGATAAAATATTTGTTGACCAGTAATTATGTTGATTTTCTTTGTCGCCATTATCTTGCTATCTGGGTGATATTTCAATATTACTCATTCTCCTCATAAATGTGTCATGACCTTTAGGATTCTAGAATATCATAGATTAGTGCTAAGCTCTATTCATTTACTGAGGTGTGAAACCACTATTGTGTACTCCATTCTCATCTGTAGCTCTTGTGTATACTGTTCCATCAATCATCGTATTCTCTTTGTCTTGTTGCTTTTTCATCTTATTCATCTAGTTCATTTAAGTGTCGCTTCCTTTCATCATCATTGACTAATCAATGTCCTGGGTAATGTAATCCTTGAAATTAGCATCACTTTAGGTCAGTCTGTCCTCAAACTAATGATATTGATGCATTTCCTTATACTGCTTTCTATTGCAGTTATGAACATGATGACTCTAAGTCTTTAGCTTTTTGGCAGAAACATTCGAATTATCCTGGTCAATCGGCAATCTCTAGTCTTAAAGATAATCGTTTAGAAGTTCAAACTAATTTGACTAGATTTCAATCATGCTTTTGATCTTTTAGCAGGGCGTACTTGTCTTTGATCTAAATGGGACTTAAATATTTCTCTCAACCTTATTAACAGCAGAAGTTGTTGACATAATATTACTATTGGAAAGTAAGGTAGGTGATTCAGAATATGATCTCTCTTAGGAGCTCATTCTTCTTTTCTTCTAGTGATACTATATGCTTTGACCTTTTCTCTTTGATACTCCCCCACCATTGTTATTTAGAGACTATTGCAGTTGGCTCATGTGTATGTTTTGATCTTTACTATTTTAAATGAATTGGAAATGTGTTGCTTGATTTTAAAAGTTTTAATTCTCTCTCAGAGTTAATTCCTCTTCATGTCTTTGATAGTCTTCCACGATATCTTCGAGATGACCCACAATGCGAGGACCTTTTGATCTCTCAGCAAAAGTCATGGTCTTTGAGGATGTCCTTGCTTGGTGACCATTAGCTTCGTTTCTACTCATTTTTGAGCTTGAATCTATATGCTGCCTTATTAGACTTCCTTTCGGCTGCTAGGTAGTCGCTGACTAAACAGCTTATTAATTTTAGTTCCTAGAATTTTAAATTGCATTGCTACTGGGATTTTAATTGTAAGACATGGTCTCATTTTTCTAGTACTATAAATAGTTGCTTACATTAACTCCGCTCATACCACTGCTAGTTCTTCTTTGTTAAGCTTACCATTATTGAGCAACAGAAGATGAATTTCTCCTCTTATAAAACAGTCTCTTCTCCTCAGAATTAGAGAATTCACTTGCCTGTTCCTCAGCCAATATCGGATTTATAACAGAGACTATACTTGTTCCAGCAAAATCATGCTAGCAGTTATAGAAATTCGAGGCATTGTGAGCATGATGATACAGTGATTATTTTCTGGGATTGAATGAATTTACAGTACCTGAGCCCATACCACCATTGCTATTATTATAGTTACTTAGCTGGCTAGATGGCTAGTTCTATTATCTTCTTTTGCTTTTAGACTTATATGGCTAAGCATAGTGTTAATTATTCATCCCGTTATGCTAGTTAATTGAGATATTTGGAGATTAAGATATTTGAATGATTTTGATGTCTGCTCCGATAGAACTTGATCTTTCATCAATCTAGCTCTTTGATGTTAATTCGCTAATGTCCTAGATTGGTGCTCCTTCATTCCATTATGGGTTGCCAAGGGCACTACCAAGACCATTATTCCACATTTGATTTTGGCTGAGAACTGAGGAGGCACAATAAGATCGATCTAATCCCATTAATGGAGCATTTCCTGAACTGGAACTTTCATTGCCTTGTCTTATTTATTGCTAAAGAAGTGCAATAAAGTTCTCCTGCCTTTCATTGATCTCTTGAAGTTTATCTATTTATTTAGTTATGATATCTTTGTCTTAGTTCAAAATTGCCAGTTCTTCATTTAGCTCTTCTACTTTGCTCAATGATTTGTCCAATTATTCTTCAAGATCTTTGGATTATACAAATAGAATCTAATTTCTTTCTTTCATTATGTTTAGCTCTTACTCCATTTTCTTTCTAACTTCTCTAATCTTCCTTCGTTTTCCTTATTCAACTTCTTCAAGTTTAACTCCTATTTCCTTTAATTTCTGGTGAACTTTGGTTACAATTGCCGCGTATTTCTGCAAAGTTTACGTTACATCATCACTTTGCTGGCTGTAGTTGGATGCCTATCTTATATGAGCTATTTGATTCTTCTCATTATCTTTTTATTGCTGAATTTACTATTCAAGTTGACTTATCTTTTGTTGCATCTCTTCATTTTAATTTGATAGCTCATTTATCTATGCCTCATACTGTTGCTACTATTAAGAATTCATATTAATTTTTAAAAATTAGGTCTAGCTTTGTGTTTATCCAGATGGTAACCTATTACTATTTATTCTAAATCTTTGATTTTCCTGACTTTAAAGTGTGTTATTCTATTGCAAATTCAACTGTGTAAAGCTAGGTATTTGGAGCATGCGATGATCCTCTGTTGCAGTTGTATGGCCACTAGATTAAGCAGCACCTAATTATTCATAAATCCCATCCAGAGTAATTTGAAGTTGCTTTATGAATCTTTTTTAGCTCAAGAAATGATTGTTTTCCATTACATCATAGACCTAGGTTTTCAGAGCTGCTAGTAGTGGGTAGAGCTCATTGGGGTTTTGATTTATCTGTAACCTTTATGCCTCTAGTTCCTTTTCCATTTATTTTTTAATTTTCTTTATCTTTTCATACTTAACTTAAGTCTTAATTAACTATCCTTGTGAGTGAATGAGTTGTTTTTGCATCAATTTATATTCTTGCTGAAGCTATGTTTGCTGCTTTTTACTTGCTTTTGGATCATCTTATGTTAAAGCTGCTTTAGATTTGTTCCTTCTTGGTTTTAATTAGGCTTTTGATAGACTTATGCAGGTCTAGGTATCATTTAGGTTTTAAGTAATGTTAGACTTATCCAAATTATTCTTAACTGAAATGGGGAATGAAGAATTATTGGAGTTGGAAAAGCTATACTTTTCAAGCATTACTGCACTGGCTATTCCTAAACCTCCTCCTATACCACCAATTTTAGATTTTTTGTGATCACTACTGATTACACTAGCAGAGGGCTGTCTAGACGAAGAGGAAGATTATATTCTTCTTCGACCTAGTAACTTCAAAACTTGCCTATTAGTAATAGGAATGTCTTTTCCATTTTGATAGTCTTCAGTATCAGTAAGAGATTTAAGGTTCTCAGCTTCAAGTTTTGCCTGAAATAGGTTCTATTTAATGTTATTTGAAGGGTAAAAGAAGGAGTTCTAAGAGGAAGTATTCTAGTTGAAGTTTTTGTGCGAAGGAGTATCGCCAATCTTAGAATTATTTCTGCCCATTTTCGGAGTATGCTTTCTTTGTTTCTCTTGGATTATAGTCAAATCTTTCAGTTGCAGTTGCAACTTAGGCTAAGACTTTTCTGACGATTTTTAAGCTTTGGTGGAGTTCTTAGTTGAACTTGGGTGTGGATGCTTAAGATGAAGTTATTAGGTATTTAAAGATGGTCTCTTCATTATATTTATTGTTTTGTATTATTATTCCTATTTTGAATTTAACAGCTAATTAATGATCTTGGGGTTTTGGGGTTTTGGGGGGATCGGAAGAGCACACGTC